TTTCTATAGCTGGTTTTGTTGCTGGGGGAGGGGGAAGGTTGTGCTGAACAAACTCCACAAATAGGTTTTATGGACACCACTCCGAGCCCAGGCCAAGAGATCCAGACACCAAGGACTACAAACTCCATACTGTTACCACTGGTGGAGGACGGGAATAGAAAAAAACTGAAAAGGAGGCGCCACAAGACCAGAAATCTGGCTCGCACAAGGAGGTGGGGGTAGGCGAGATTAGCATAGCCATGGACAGGGCACATCAATCACCACCGAAGGGAGGCTTGCTGGGAACTGAGGGTGGAGTTAAGTAGCCAGGTTTGGTATATAACCAGCCATGTGGGCCTGGGGGGGTGGGGTGGTCCTTGGTTTTTTGTGGGCTTTCAGCATGCTATTGGGGTTCCAGATCAGTGGAACTGGTAAGACGCATTCACAAATTTCTCTCTCTCTTTCTCCCTCAATTATTCATTTTTTCATTTCCCCTTTTTGTAAATAAACACTTTATTACCCTTTTTTGGTGTACCTGCGGCTAAGTCTCATTGTAAGTCTCTTTTAAGAGTGCGCACATGGGTGAGGACCCACAGTCAGGCCAACACATTTCACTTCGGGGTTGCCCTGTAACACTTTAATGACAGTTCTACCCCCACCTCCAGGTTTTGGCCCTGTGTGAGCCAGGTTTCTGGACTTGTGGTGCCTCCTTTCCAAATTTTCTGCTCTTAACCTCCATCATAAACCACTTTTTAATTTTTCATTTTGCACAATGTATGCATTTTCATCTTGTTATATTCCCCATACAATTCCCACCCCCCTTATTTTGACCCAAATCCCTCTTCCCCTTTCCCCCTCCCCCCTAGTGTGTCTCTGGTTTGTAGTTGCTTGTTGATTTTGATTTTTACTTTATTATAATTGCCTTTTTCCTGATCCCTTATTTAGGTTTTCTAAATTCCTGCTGTGAGTGAGATCATCTGGTATTTTTCTTTTTCTTTCTGGCTTATTTCGCTGAGCGTGATCCCTTCCAGCTTCATCCATGTTGCTGCAAACTGCATGAGTGTATCTTTTTTGATTGCTGCGTAGTATTCCATGGTGTATATGGACCACATTTTATGCAGCCTCTCCAGGATGCTTCTTCCTGCTTTCTTCTTGCCGTCTCCTGTATCTGCAGGCCTTTTTCTCCTTTCTTTGCCTGACAAGCGCCTACTCTTCCTTCAAAGGCCGCCCTCCATAACCAGCAATTCTTAGTAGCCCTGTCTGGATCTCCAGAGCTGCCCTTCTCTCTGTACTGCACCCACCTGTACTCAATTTTATAACAGTACTTTGACTGCACTGTGATCGCATTTGTCTTCTTAAAGGTATATATTGCATTTTATTAATTTTTATTCACTGTCCTGCTTGGGACTACAGTCAGAAGATATAGTATTAGTTCTGGGTTTGCCACTGAGCTGCTTTGTGACCTGGAGGAGGTCTGGGTGCTAGTTTTTCTTTTCTGGGTGCTAGTTTTTCCCTGTATAGAGATGGGGAGGCCCCTTCCAGATGAAGACTAAGATTCATTGAATGTATTTTAGCTAGTCATCCTCTGGTTATGGGGGAGAAAACAGCAGCCTGGGAATAAAATGATGTGGGCTTTGCAGAAATCAACTCTGTGGACTTGAGTGGATCCCTGATCCAACCCTCAGGCTCCCCCAGTTGTAAAGAGATGATTTCATTTAGTTAGGGTTCCTTTGAAAGTAGAGTTTCTGAGTTTATTTCAAGGGACACAGATCTCTGTCCACCAGTAGGAAGCAGGAATGTGTGAGAATGGTGAACAATTGGAAAAAATGGGGATCCAGTTGATTTTTTTCCTGCCCTTAGTCCCCTCCCACATGAGAATAAATAAATCTCTTCTACCCAGCCTCCCCTCTCCACTCCTTTCCATCTTTAGCATCTGAATTTGTTACAGTCATGGTCTGACTGGAAGCCTTTTGGCAAGTTGTAAGTGCTCCTCCTTCCAGTCTTTGCTTTGAGTTGAATGTATTCATATTCCATGTTCATTCTCTCCCCTTTCCTTATTCACAGCCTATTATCTTTAAAACCAAAATTTATACCCCATTTCAGTCCTCTTCAACTGACAACCCCCCCCCACGCACACGCACACACACGCACACCTCCTAGGATTTGTTCTCTTGCTCATTCCAAACACTAGGGAAAGCCCTGAAGTTTGGAAAGAAGTTCTTTCCAAGGACATGGACCTGGAGGTTCGTCAACTTCAGAGTGGTAGTCAGAACTTTGGGCACTTCAACCAGGAAGGGTGAGTAAAATGAGAAGTATTGGTTTCTAACTTTGGCAGATCAAAAACTGAGGTTGGTTTTGGAGATGTTGGGGCCTGAGTCAACCAGTCTCAGCCCTGGGAACTCAATTAATTGGGAGAGTCCAACAAACAAACAGATCATTTCCTCCTGGCATGGGGAGTGCTGGAGCGGGGAGTGGTAGGGTGCACAGGTGGGGTCCCACCTCAGCGAGGTGAGTGGGATGGGATGGGAGCACAGGCAGAAAAAGCTTTTTTTAAAAAAGATTAATTTACTTATGCATACAAAAACTGGGTACAGGCCAGAGATGCAGAGGGTGAGAGGATTCACCAAAGACAGAGCAGGGAGCAGACCAGGCAGACTGACCGAAATACACTGCTGAGGGGAGTAGCTGGTGAGACAGGAGGGGTCTACCATGCCATGTGGGTATCTCCCTGGCCAGGGAACGAACCCTCAGAGGCTGCCGACGGCTTTATGGCATGGTGCTCAACCTGCTGCGCCACCAGGGAGGCCCTAGAAAAAGCTTTTTGAAAGGGAGGAGTTGAGGGTTAAAGGAGGAATTGTTTGCAAAGTGAAGAGGTGTGGAGGAGTCTGCTGCAGAGTCCCCACTGTACAGTCAATTGTGCTGATGTGTATCAGGTAGAAAGCCCACCGCTCTACTTTGGGCAGGTGCCACCATTTCTCTGTTATATTTATTCTGGACACAACTTCTTGAAAACAAACCCCATACAATGACCAGAAAGGTATAGGGGGACCTAAAGCCTGTCATACAGGGAATTGGAATGGAATTGTGCATATTTACCAAAGGGAAAAGACTGAATAAAAAGAAAATGGACTTTTGTCTGACATGGAGTTTTCAGGGCGAGCCAAAGGGTAGCCTCCTGCAGATTTAGCTGAACACAAGGAAAACTCCATTGACCTCCTTTAAAAAGAAAACACCTTGTCTTGGCAAATTGTCACTGGAAATATTCAAAATATTCAAATTTCCATTTGGTAGTCATATTGTAGAAACTAAGAGTTGGATAAGATGACCTTGGAAGTCCTTTCCAGGGGGATTCCCTCCTATCATTCCCCCTCCCCGAGCATCATCTCCCAGACTTTCTGCTTATGCCCTTCTGTGACTTTTCTCTCTGCTGGTTGAAGTCCAGGCTGCACAGCATGGAACCAGAACCCTTTCCACCTCTCCTCTCACAGCCTCAACACTACAGAGCAGTCCAAGACACCCAAGCTTGCCTGCACTCTTTGCTTAAGATCCCCTCTTAAGATCCCACTCTTTGCCAAGCTCTTTGCTTACGATCCCCTCTCCCAGCTTTTTTTTTTTTCTCTCTTTCATTATACCATTCTCTGTTACTGTGCTCTAGCACTGGGTGGATGTCTGTCGCCTTTTGTCTGCATCATAATTTAGTGAATTGACTGTGTCCCTGTTGTGTCTTGATGAAGGGTAACTGCAGTGGCCTGTTCCCCACTACTCTTCAGAAAGAATCTGAGCATGTCAAAGCCTCCCCTCATCAGTCTCTAGTTTCAACTCGGTGGCAGGCATGGGACAACCGGGCCTTCTCTCCAGGTGCTGGCTTCCTGTCATGAATAGGTTCTTGGAAAGTGTGGCTATAAGCAAAACCACATAAAAAAACCAGTTTCACCGTAAGCAATTGATACACTCAAGTTATGTCCTGGTCACAAAAACATCACCAAACTTCTAAATAAAGGCCCCGAACCCTTCTAATATGAAGTAATAATTTGAATCACCCATTCATCCATTCATTTGTTTTCTAACCTGTTTATTCCGCTTTGGGTCAAGGGTGTCCCTAGACTCAGCCCAAGGTATAAAGTAGGACCCAGCCTGAACAGGACATCTTTCCATGGCAGGGTGCACTGTCACACACCTGAGCTTACTCTGACTCAAACACATGCACTGAAACCTGCCAACGAACCCAAAGTGTACATCTTTGGGATGTGGGAGGAAACTCAAGAGAAAACCTACAAGATGCCGGGAGAGCATGCAAACTCCATACACAAAGTGGCCCGGGCTGGGAACCAATTTTTTTTTTCCTAATCAATATTGTAAGGAAGTGACCACTACAGCAGGTCCTCAAATATCATTGTTTTGAGGACTTTTCCTAAATCTGAGAAGAAAATCTCATCCAATGTTGAACGAAACAATATCGAGGACCTGGCTTCATTATATGTTGTTTCACTTACAGTTCCCAAGAACTTACTATACTTTATTTGTTCACTTGTTTATATGCTATGAACAACAATAAAGATAGGAAATTGGTTACATAAGGATGGGGTTGACATAGTTCTCAGAAAGTCAAAGTAGAAGTTGTTAACACTACTCTTCTTACTTTTGAACCTGACAGAGGGAGAGACAGTGTAGATCAGGACCACAGTCAACAACCTGTGACCGCCACTGTATCACAGGTATGTAGTTGTGACTTTGAGGGATTTTCAAATCTTTAGCTTTTTATTATAAGTGGACAAATTAGGTCAACTAAAGGAAAGAAAGAAAAATAAGAAGGAACAAACTTAAATATTAACTCTCTGGGACTTCTGAAGAATGAACCAAGAAATATTTTCGGAGTATTAAGCTAGAATATTTAGGCTCAAAGTAGATTCTTTGAGTATATATTCCTAGAACATGTTCACTGTGGATAGCAAACTTTATGAACTGCACAGGATCTAAGATAATAAAAATTATGCAGACACTCACATTTATGAAGAGACCTGTTTATTACTGATAACACTTCATTGGCTAAAACCACAAGAAATCCACACACAAATACTTAAAGTGCAAATTCTCACAGGCATTACTATAATACACCCTGGTGTTTTTGTAGGGAAAAATGAGAAGATGTTGACAGAAACTGTTAAAACAAGGGCACAGATTTGAATTACTGTTACAATCAGAAAAACAATTTATTCTTAACTATGTATTCTATTGAGCATATTCAGTGACATATACAAAGATTTTTATTTTAGCCTATAACAACAAGGCCTCACTGTATATGGATGCAGACTCTTGGTCAACTGACTCTTGTGAGAGATGTGATGCGTCATCACACTGGACAAAAATATCAAATTAGTTGTGACTCAGTTGGGAGGCAACACTAGCAGGCTCAAAATGGCACTCACACAAGTGACATTAAGTCAATACAGACACTTTCTTAGCCTTCTTGGCCAACACCTTGTTGTGAATATAAAAAACCAGGTGTTACATACAATTCCCAAACGGTAATATACTCTCCTCTCCCCAAAGAAACTGAGTATTTAAGGGTGTGGATGGTTAATAAACCTTGCTTACTATATCTTTCAGGAATGAGACAGACTTTAAAAGTTGGATTAAAAATGATTGGTTTTGGTTGTTTCTTAAACAACTTGCTCCTTTAAAATAAAATCCCTTAATTCCTGTTGTCACCAATTAAGCATCCTATGCCAAGTACTATACTAGGTGTGGATAGGAACACTAAGAAATGATGACCCCTGCCTTCAGGAGGCTCAGAGTTGGGTGTTCCTTCTGAATCAGAGAACACATTGGCCAACAGCTCAGACAATAAATTATAAGGTTCAGTGGTAACATAACTGTTTCAGTTCAGTTTTAATTTGACAATACTTTTAAAGGTCAGTTTCTATAGGGCAGGGTATAGGTATGACTAAGGTACGTTCTATGTTTATATTTCTCACTCTAGAGTCAGTGTATATATCCTCAGGGATATGCAGGAAATATGGGGAGGGGGTTAGGGGAGAAAATGAGAAGCCGCATTACAAATATGTGCTCCTTTCTGATAGCACCAGTTTTGGTGAAGATTAGGATTCATTTCTACATTAAGCAGTTTTATTATGGAGGATGCAAAATTCACTTACATTTTTAAGACAGAGCATGAAATTTCTTGTGAGTGCTAGGTTGCTTCCGATTTTGCTCAGAGCCTTTCCCCACACATTCATGCTTCTCTGCTTTTGGGTTATGTTGGTAGAAAAATTTGAGAAGCAAGCTCTAGATATTTCCTTTTGCCCTTATTTTGGTTACTATACTTATTCTTGTATATTTTCTTTTTTAAGTTTCTAGACTTATAACAACACAAAGAAAAGATGACTTAAAGAATGTAGCAGGATGGTGAATATTTTAAAGTAACCAATGGTAAATACTATTCTCTGTTTCCAACCAGATTTAGTCATTCTGTGTACAGTCAGACAATGAGAAATTCTCTTCCTTCTTTTCTCTACCTTAAGACTTCTTATGGCTTATGGTAAGATGCTTTGAGGGAAAAATATGGAAAAAAGATATCCTCAAATCATGTGCTTTGGATGTCCAAAGTAGAAGGAAACCTGAAATAAAATGCTAAATCTATTTGCCATTTATTTTGGTTAGTGTGACCCTTTCCTCATTTGCTTCTAGAGCAATCTCAGAAAACAAGTGAATTATGAAAGACCATAATAAATTTACATACAGTAATATCTAGACAGACCAAAAAAGGTTAGGAAATAGATTCAAAATTACTTCCTACAATGGCTTACATATTTTAGTAATAACAAAATAACCAAGAGTCCATAAACAAATATAGCTTACAAAGAAGTTTAAAGCATTCTGAATGAATCCAGTTAAGATTTCTTATCAGTGAGGTAATAGGGCAAAAGTTTTCACAGTAACAAAATCAGTGTGTGGGGGCACCAGGGAAAGAGGGAGGTAGAGAGAAAAAGGCATAAAATTAAAGTTATCCAAGTAGAGTTAGGATTTTTCAAGCATCACAGATATCAATGGAAAACATTTGAAAGAAATACCAATAGCAGCAGCATATAGAACAATTTCTTCATTAAACTCCACCTCCTATCTTTGTTGCATCAATTCCAGAAGCAACCTGCTTAAGGAATAAGAAGTTTAGGTATCTAATGTCTTAGAAGCTCTGCTTGCTGAAGTTACTACATCCAAACAACAATACTTTATATTTAAACAAAACCCTTCAGTATCCTATAATGCTATACATTCTTTAAGATGAACAAAATTATATTCGTCTCACTTAGTTTGCCAGGTTAAATTAAAAATAGCCTCTGAACAGGTCTTTATTCACTAACTCATGCATACACTACTTACTCAACAAGTACAAAAACTATCTTGTGAGCTAGATTCTTCTAGATATGGAGTGACACTCAATGGTAATTTAAGTGCTCTGAACACCATCATCTTTTTCCAACCTGAGTTAAAAAAAAACAAAAAACAAAACACATTGGAAGGAAACTTAAAAAGTTACTTAATACTTACCTTTAATATTTAAAGTTTTATTTTTCATGAAAAGATGCTTATTCTCTCTTACACTGTCCTCACTGGAGAGGGAAAATAGTGTGCCATGTTACTCCTTATTTTGAGTCTTTCAATTAAAAGACTCAGTTAATAATTTAAGATTTATTAAGGTATACTGATAGCTTTTTCCTCTCCAGAGTTAAGTAATCTTTATTTGAACTTTTTTCAAATTTTTTTTATTAAAAAAAATTCTATATTCCCTTCCCAGGTCTCATATGATACTAAGATAGTACATTCAATAAAAGGGGTTCTTTTTCTTACCTCCTAAAACTTGACCTCTTTTTAGTGGTTGGTGGGAAAGGAAAACAATATGTTCACTATCTGCATATCATGGTAATAAACACAAATAAGCAACTGCCCACAGTTAAGTTTATTCCCTATTTTTAGGGTGATAAGTTTGTCCTTCACAGAAGTATTTCCTTGCCACCTTTGTTTGGCCTATTGTTTGTTTATTTCTATTCTGGCCAGTGCACATTTGGTCTTGCCCCACTACTTTTCCTTTCTCCAGAGCTCTAGAAAATCCCAATTTTAATGTACATGCTCAATGAGAATGCATTCATTTCCATGACATTGTTCATAAAGAAAAAGATATACAATATATATTCCAAAGCTGAGGCCTCCTGGCCAGCAATTTTGTCTCTCCTGGTTAAAGCTTGGGTTATTTCTGAATTTATCCTGTTAGGCAAGTATATACCCACTATGCCAATTTCATGTTTACATATCATGCTCGGACAAACTCCAGAGCTTGGCTAGAATCAGATACCCTCAATTCATATACTTTGGCAACATTTGTAAAATTTTGTTATTTTAACTTTGAATATTTCAGATAGTTTTTCACCTTATGGTGACTTAAATGTATTATATTAAAGCATTCAAATAAAGCTGTTCTTTTTATAACAAAATGACAATTATGACGTGGCTTTACTGATTATGAATGGGGCTATCAGATCATTTTAGCTCCACTTTGCTCTTTAGTCACCGTAACACACATACTGAAAGCAAATATACATATTTTTCATATATATAATGCATTGTTCATACCACTTATAGAATATATAAGCCATTTCCTAAATTATAATCTACATTCCTAAAAGCAAATAAAGTGACACATTCTACACATTTTCTCTTCAGTGCAAAGTCTTTGAAAACAAACTCATTCAGAAATAATGGTATTCTACATTTAGTCAGCAGTCTATTATCTACAGTCATACAAGATCCAATTATAAGAAAGTAAGGTGGAACACATTAACAATAGTGGCAATAATAATTTGAAAATTACATTTGGATCACATGGGTTCAACCAAACGTTAGCTGATAGTTGCAGCGAACCAAACTATAGATTTAATATCCTAATCAGTTCCTAATACAGTTTTATTACTGTTATTTTTTAGGAAATAAATTTCTTATACCAGTTATTTTCCATAGGCAACCTGTTTGGTATGATTACACCCAAGACCTTGTTATTGTTACCCCTTAACTATGCCACATGTGTTTAAGTATTCATTGAGTTACATAGGACAGGATATATTTTAAGAAGATTAAATGGCACTTGTTGATTAAGTCTTATTTAGAAGACGCAAAATCAACCCAAAGATATCTTCTAATTTTTTCTCCACATGAAAAAAGATATATAGAACTGTTGTGATCAGAAATTCTATATAAGCCAGCAAGATGTTATATTAAACTGGACTTTAGTTTTAAAACATGTAGTTTTAGAGCTTCATAAGATCTAAAGTTTGGATGTTTCATTTCTTAGTAAAATTAGCATTACTTTATCTGCTAAAGGAATAAATCTATTTACAAAAATGTAATTTGAAAGTCAGACTTTTATGGAAATTCAAAGCTCATTTCTCTGTTCAGTCTTTTTTCTTAAAGGCTGTGATAGCTTGATTTTAACATGAAGATCCTTAGCTGCAATTATAGTGAGCCTGATTTTATTAAGATTTTTATTTACATTCAAAGATTTTAAAACCAGCAAACCCATTTGCTATATATGGAGAAGCACCTATACAGCTTGGAAGATTTTCCTCAACTGTCTGAAAATCAACTGATTAATTATATTCAATTCAGGAACACTGTTTCAGTTCATCCCAGACCCTGAGAAGGCACTAAGAAATTTGACAATAACAAAGCCCACAGGAGTGTTGCCACTATTGTTCTATGTTCCATAAACACCGTTAAATACACACATTTACACTGCACCAAAAGCACCTGAAAAAGGTGCAGAAACCACATCATATTAGTTCTAAGCTAGAAATGCTAAGTGTCCTATTTCAAATACTATAATTTGTAAATGAATACTTCTGATGTAACAATGACACTGTTCCCCAGTGATCTGGAAGGTGAATCGTATGTTTGCCAATTTTATGGATTAATTTCCTTAACAAACTCTACAATTACAAGACATTTATCTGATTTTTTTTAAAACCGTGCTATACACAATTATAAGAATGTGAAAGTAAGCTTTATCATAGTTTAATGAGAAAACTCATGTTTGTTATCATGTTTCTGTTAAAGGAAGAACAATGTGTTACTATAATGCCTTTAATGTAGTGACTTTTGTTCCAGATTACGAAAAAAGTTGAATTTCACTTTAGACCACATCATTTCAAATTTATACAGTTTGTTTAGTTAACCAACTAAAAAGAAAAAATAAAAGGGAAAAGATACTTGGCCAGATGAACTAGAGCGTGAATACTAACACAGGCTCAATGTTAATATGAGTGTGGAGAGCTTGGTTGCTCTGTGTCACATGCCAGTGCAAAGGAGTGATGGCTGGTATGCACTAAACAGAACGCCAGACCAGTCCATTTTTGCTGGGCTCAAGAAAATTTTCAATCATAGCTTCAATGAGTTTCTTCAATTCCTCTTCTAGTAAGGCGGTGTCACTGAGAAAAAAAGATTAATTAAGAGTTATTTACATAACCTTAAAATTTGTTTAAGTTGTTACACATCTTTTTAGAAGGCATAAACCTGATGGGATAAACAAGGTAAACAAAACAGAAATTCACTCAGTTAAAATAAAACAAGATCAGAAAGAGAAAAATCATACGCTAAGAAAATACCACTATCACAAACTAAAGTTTAAAAGTTTAAAAGAAGTTCCTTGGTACTTGATAAATAAGGCTGAGTTATATATAGATATCTAAAGAATCTCCTAGGCCAGGCAATTTAATAGCTTAGAACACCAATACCTGATATTGAGATACAATGGCTTCCTGAAATACTTTTGAAGAATAAATACTCAGTATAGATATTAAGGTGATATGACTTATCCTTCAGGTAACAGAGGGAGATATGAGTAAAAGAATGCATTCTTTAAAAAAAATACAAGTTTTTTCTTCAGAGTCATCCCCTAAAGAGCTGCTATTGCCTAAAGCCTTTCTAGGAAAGTCTTAAACCAAATTCACAGTCATTTGAAAAAAACATACAAGTCAGCTTTTATTACTTTAAAATCATTCTTCATTTTTAACCACATATAGCATTGCCCAATTTGGTTTACTTAAAACTCCATTCTGAATGACTTCAGGAGGTCTTTTTTTTCCCCAAAGGGAAGAAAATCTACCCTTAAACTCAAAGACTTGGGTTCTAAAGGCAATTCCAAATTTCCCCTAAGAATGATTGTAGTAATGGTTTCATAGCTCTGTGACGATATTAAAAACCAACATACTGTATGCTTATAGATAAGGGAATGCTGGTATGTGAATTCTAGCTCAACGAAACTTATAAACAAAAGTTATATATAAACATATAAGTTACATATAAACATGAAAGTTATATATTTAAGGCCTATCAGTTCTCACCTTTGGTCAGGTGACGCGCACATTTCTGCGTAATACTTGATCTTTGGTTCTGTCCCGCTTGTCCGAAGAGTAGCAACACAGCCGTTTTGAAAAGTAAACGTAATCATTTGGCTATTTTTACTCACAGGCAGCACCTAATGCATAATTGTAACAACAATTAAATCATACTGGCATCTTTTTCATTTTCACAAGTTGTAAAATGCATTATACCTATATGAGGGATCTCAAGTAGTGAAATTCTTGGAAACAAATTAGAGTGGTGGTTGCCAAGGCCTGGGGACTCATACTCTAGAACTCAACTCACAACAGTCCTCTAGAAAGTCTTCCATCCACCATTCAAATCTGAGTAAGGGTCCTTCTGCAGTTTCATAGTGTCCTAGGCCCCCCCCCGGTAGTACTTACCATCTTGTAATCACTGCTTACTTGTCCATTCCCCACTAGAATCTAGAGCACAGAATCCCCAGTGCTTTATTCCCCCCATAGCTGTATCCCTACTGTATCTGTGCCTGAAGTACAGAAGGGTTCTGATAAATGACTACTGGACACACAGATGTATGTCAATCTGAAGTGGGAGAAGAAAGAGCTCAGAAATCTTTGACACTGTGTGACTTCAGGGGATAACAACATCTAAGTTGCCTGCCTTACAGAATTGTTGCAAGCATCAGTGGAGAATGGAGACATAAGCATTTTGAAAATGAATATCATAAACTTTAAATATCTATGATGATATTAAAAAACCACCATACTGTATGCTTATAAATAGGTGAACACTGGTACATGAGTTCTAGCTTAAAACATATATAAACAAAAGTTATATATAAACATAATAAGTTACATATAAACATATGAAAGTTAAGAAGAAAAAGGCGCCACACAAGAACTATCCTAAACACAGCATAGAGAAATAAAAAGAAGCAAATGATTTGGTCCTTTAAGTAGTTTACAAACACACATACATGTGCACACACACACAATACCAACAAGTGGGAACCAGTATTTGGTGACCAGATGAACACACAGAAATGGAATGTGTATAGTAACTTATACAAGAGGCTGAAGACACCCCAAAATATATTATTCCCCTAGAATCTTGAGACAGCAGCAGAACATTATGAATGGAAATTTAGGATAATAACAATAATAAAACATAACAATAACAAAAGATATGCTGAGCACCTACCACATAGAAGCTTTGAAAGGCATAAAGGTATAATAGAAGTGGATCTGCCACATACAGCACAATGATAATAGAAGATAGAAAGTGCTAAGTGACAAGAGGAAGGCGCCATAGATAATAAAACCTGAGGAGGAAGACAGCTGATTATAGAGGTTCTATGCAGCAGCAACACCTGCTTGGACAATGACTAAGGTGAGAAACTAGAACAGTAGGAAGAAACGCAAAACCAGGAATTTTTATTTTTATTTTTTTATTATTATTTTTAAAGATTTATTTATTTATACAAACACTGGGTACAGTCAGAAGCACAGAAGGTTGAAAGGATTCACCAGAACCAGAGCAGGGAACAGAACAGGCAGACTGATGAAATACACTGCTGAGGGGAGCAGCGGGCAAGACAGGGGAGGTCTGTCGTGCCATGTGGGGCCCATGCCGGCGGCCAGGGATTGAACCGGCGCTGCAGAGGCTGCGGACAGCTTTGCAGCCCAGTGCGCTCAACTGCTGCGCCACCAGGAGAGGCCCAAAACCAGGAATTTTTTAAAATGGGTGCATCCAAGGAACTAAAAGTTGTCTTAGTTGGCAGGGTTTTAGGGAATAATGTTGGAAAGACAAGTGGCAACTGGAAGGACACATATCTTCAGTGTTATAGACTTTCAGACTTTATTTTCAACATTATCCAGCATCATCATACATTCTCACTGTTTCCTTCCAGTTCTCTTTCTGCCTCTCATCCCCTTCCTCCCTTGCTCAGAAAGTAACAGATTTGAGAAGTAAGGAAGACAGTTGGAGAGCCCATCAGTGGGACTGACAAACTGCTCTGGAGAGAAACAATGGATCCAGGTTTTAGGAAACTCACAGACTTAAACTGTTACTATTTTACTGTAGTATGAATTTTTACAAATTGCTAAAAACTTTTTTTAAAAAGTAGGCACTTACTGATTTCTTATCAGACTGGCTGCTGTCATATCCAGTGGTAATGTCCCGTACATATAATATAGCAAATGTCCCACAAAATTTCGGATATTCTTTTGGAGAATGAAAATTGCGAAGCCTTTCAAATATACTCTTGATGGTGGCAGGATCATAACACAAGAAATACGAAGTTTTTGAAATATGATAACCATATCTGCACAAAAATTTAATTAAAGTGTTAAAATCAGGTTTCAGGTAACTTTAGAAAAGAGTTAATAAGCATATGATACACTGTGTAGACAGTGGCTGTCTTTAATTGAGATAATTTTAGTACTTTTAAAAAGGACTGACTAGTATTCAAAAATGAATTTAGAGAGCTAAAAGTAGGGTAAAAGATAAAAACACCTAGCATGCGAAGGTCATAATAGTAGAACTTACTTTTCATAAACCTTAATCAGTTGCTGTTTCAATGTGATGTTCAGAGTTTCCAGGTAAGATGCCATCTCAGCAACAACAACAGCTGCACTGACCCCATCTTTATCCAAAACTGAAGTTCCACACAGAAAACCTGAGGATTAAAAAGCGTCTTGAAAAAAGGAAAACTGAAACTTGTCACAATTTCAATAGTTTCACATTTCATCAGAAGGACCAATGAATTTAAAGGTCTAGAAATTAATGAAATCCACTGATACCAAAGGCTTTTGGGGGATGTTTATTTTTATTTATTTATTTATTTTTATATAGGCATGTTTTATTTATTTACTTGTTTGTTTTTGGTTTATACATGCACTGGGTACAGTCAGAAGCGCGGGAGGGTGAGAGAATTCACCAGAGCGGGGAGCAGAACAGGCAGAAGGACCGAAGTACACTGCTGAGGGGAGCAGCGGGCGGCAGGAGAGGTCTGCGCGCCATGTGGGACCCTCCTCCGGTGGCCGGGGAGCAGCCGGGGATGGAACCGGCGCCGCAGAGACTGCGGGCAGCTTCGCAACCCAGCGCTCAACCGCTGCGCCACCGGGGAGGCCCTACTTGAGTCTCATTTTTAACTACTCTTAATGGAGAAGAGCCACCAGGGAGGCCCATTTTGGGGGATGTTTAGATGCTTTTTTAATTTTCTGGTGAGAAACTCATCTACACATTTCTGAGATCCCTTGGTGCCCACAACTCAAAATGCAAAATCAGAAGACAAAAATTCCTCTCTATTGAATTACTAATTACTAATTACTGAAAAAAAAAAAAAAAAAAACCACTCTCAAAAAAGGAACTCTCAGGCCTCCCCTGGTGGTGCAGCAGTTGAGCGCTGGGCTGCGAAGCTGCCTGCAGCCTCTGCAGCTCCGGCTCGCTACCTGACCGCCAGTGAGAGTTCCACATGGTGCGCAGACCTCTCCTGCTGGCCCGCTGCTCCCCTCAGCAGTGTATTTCATCAGCCTGCCTGTTCTGTTCCCCACTCTGGTGAATCCTCTCACCCTCCCGTGCTTCTGACTGTGCCCAGTGCTTGTATAAATAAATAAATAAATCTTTAAAAAAAAAAAAAAAAAAAAAACACTCTTCTCCATTGCTGGTGGGAGTGCAAACTGGTCCAACCACTATGGAAAGTTGTGCGGAGGTTCCTCAAACTACTACAAATGGAGTTTCCATGTGATCCAGCAATTTCACTCCTAGGAATCTACCCAAAGGACATAAACAAAAACATTAATTCAAAAGGATTCCTGCACCCCTATGTCTATTGCAGCACTATTTACAATAGGTAAGCTATGGAAACAACCCAAGTACCCCCAAATAGATGACTGGATCAAGAAGATGTGGTGTATGTATACAGTGGAATACTATTTATCAATCAGAAAAGATAAATTCATGCTATTTGCAGCAACATGGATGGAGCTGGAAGGGATTATGCTCAGTGAAATGAGCCAGAAGGAAAAAGAAAAGTATCATATGGTTTCATTTATAGGAGGAATGTAGGGGAACCAAATAAGGGACCAGGGAAAAAAATCATAATAAATTAAAAAACAAAATTAACAGGCAACTATTAGAGATACTCTGCAGGGGAGGGGAAAGGAGAGGAATCAAAATGGGGGGGAAGGTGTTCTTACACAAGGGACTATGGTGATGGTGCACGGGTGAATTGGTGATGGGAATTTTGAAGGGACTACACTGGAGAGGAGAAAGCATGCATTGTACAAAAAGGAAGAATGATATAAATATACATATATATAAAACATTAAATTAAAAAAATGCTCTCAAATCAAGTTTCAAATATTTTAATATTTACTACATACCAATAGACTCTTCAAATGCAAAAAGGACTTCTTTCCCATTTTCCAGGAGGTCTTTTATCCTGCTTCCAATCCATTTAAAACCTGGCAATGTTTCCTGAAATGCAGAGGAGGCGACTCTAGTTAAGTGACTCTCTCATAAGTACACATTAGTGAAAACCTGTCACTAAATGCACATAACACTCAGAGTGATATTCTGTTAGGGTCTTCAGTCCACGAGTTTTATGTAGTGGTAAACATATAGTCCTAAAATACACAAATACACCCCCGTAAGTGGTAACACATATAGTCACACAGTAACAAACACACACATATATTATCATCATCTACTATTAATCAAGCTACTATCATCATCTACTATTAAACAAGTGCTTTATACTATTATCTTTTTTAATGCTCACAAAATATCTATGGCTGAAACAGCAGCTCAGAATTCAGCAAGTTTGCCCAAGATTTGCTGCACTTAAGAGACAGAGCCAGGACTCAATTACACAGCTTCTTGGAAACCACCTATTTAACTGCAGTACAAGCACTAATATAAAGTACCTATAAAGATTGTGATTTAGGGCCCCAAGTAATCAAAAGCCAAGAAAGCTTTTTAGTGATGCACATTTAACATTATCGCATGTTTGAACCAAGTGTTCTTTTCCATAACAAAGGAACTTCAGTAATTATATTTGAGGACTTACCATTAAATGGGGCTACTGTTCACTTTAAAGATAAGAACTCTTAAAGTCAACAGAAAGTGCATGTGATACACACTGATTCTAGAGCTAATTCACCTCTCTACCTCTTCACTGAAAAAAAAGAACCACAACCTCTGCTGTTCCTTCTTTCCCACAACAAAAACAAGGAAGTAAATTTACAATACTGGCTATAGAATCATATTTTTTTTCTCTTTTGTGATCATTTCCTATTTTTCTTACTATAGATGTAAACAAGGAAACTAGCAATTCAGAATCTTTGGTGTACATAAATTTTCAGTTTCTTCTATTTTGTTCAATGTGTTTTATAAAGTGTAAGATTCATATTTCTATTTCATTAGGACAGGTTCAATTTTCTTTTACTCAGCCAATTAGTGTTAAGACCTGTATCTTGACTGTGGATCAAGAAAAATGCCCACTGGTGACATTTTCACTGATAATTGGCAAAGACAGTAGAGGACAGGCAACTCAGTTGGCACTCATACCAGTGGCATCAAAGACAGTCCACTTTACTCCTAAGACTCACAAAGGTTAAAGATTTTGTCCTGAGAGAGATCCACTACTGGTTTTCTAGATGTAGAATCACTAGGTCTTAATTTGCAATTTAGTTTCTTAAGACTGAACTTGAAGAGCCTAAACAAGTGGTCACTGACACGTACCAGTTTTTGAGTGGAGTATGTATTACTGATGAGGTCACCAGGAGTGAGATTTTTCCAGAATGAAAGTCAGATACTATTGTATGGAATAGTAAGAATTCATGTAATTTTTAAAGAACAATCTTATCTTTTGAGAAATTCACATGCTGGATGAATTTGGTTCAAAGTGTTTTAACTATCAAAAAGATTAAGCAAGTGTTAAAAAGGGAGAATAATGTTTTTTATTTTTAAAATTTTTTAAAGATTATTTGTAGAAGAACTAAGGTGTAGGCCAGAGGTACAAAGGAGTGAGAGGCTTCACCAGACGCAGAGTGGGGAGCAGAGCATGCAGATTTACTGAAATACACTGCTCCGGGGAGCAGTGGGCCAGACAGGAGAGTTCTTTTGCACCATATGTGGGTTAGCTCCCTGGCTGGGACTGAACTCAGGCAGCAGTGGTAATATCTTAACCAAAAGAGGGAGAATTATAAATGAAACCAATAAAATTATGTTTTGATGGAGAGATGGCTTTAGTTTATAGAATAGTTTTAGCAAATTAGCACACAGATATCTATTCTTACTTCAAAATGAAATCCTTCTTTAAGTGCAATTGCCTTCAAAATTTTAGAAGAGACTGTGGTCGCTAACATATAAATGTTCTTCACATCAGCATTACTTGATTTATTTTTCTTCCAGCAATCAAACATCCACCACCCAAACAAAGCTGCCAGCTCATTCCCTGTGAAAACTTTCCAGTGACCACTGTAGAGAGAATGAAAATACAAAATCAAGACCTTTATAACTTCTCATTAAAACCTTTTGAATCTAAGGCATACAAATTACCATCCTTCATATAGGAAAATCCCAACACTATTATATAGGATTTTGGGATTTTTGAGAAATTATGAACTACTTTTCTAATTGACCAAGGATGAGTTTAGGTTACCCTAAACTTTTGAAAAATTATTACATTGTTACATTTATTCTCCTACCTGATGAAATTGATTATATGATTTAATCATACCAACCACTAAAAAAGATAATGAAATGTTGCAGAAGTGCTAATTATCACTACAATGGCAATCATATTGTAATATAGGAACTTATAGCAATATGTTGTACACATTAAATTTACACAGAATTATATAATATACAATTATATTTCAATAAAAATAACTGAAAAAAAGTTATGATGTCCTTTCTATGTAAGAACGTTATGGTGGCAAAAATACATGGCAAAAAATACCTAGATGATCAAGATTAGAAAATGTTTTATTTATAAGGCAATTTGTTAGGATGTTGTGCATTTTGAAAATTAGTATTTTCTAATATTTAAGGACAGGAAAAATGCTCATAGTAAAAGATTAAGTGGAAAATAAAACTCAAGATATAAAATTGTATGTAGTATGATCACGTTTATAAAAGCAAATATATTTTTAAATATCTAAAGAAAAAGGATAGAAGAAAATGTCAAAATATCAATGTAGGTGGTTATCTCTGGATAGAGTGCTTATAGAAGATTATTATCTCCAATGAGCCTATAAAACTTACAATAAAAGATTATTTTTTAGAGTTAAAGTTTTTAGATCAAATGACAAGTTCACTTACCTCTCCTGAAGTTCGGCCACTGCCAGTCGATCTGCATCAGGATCTGTGGCTAGCACTACCCGGGCCTTTTCTTTCTCTGCCAGCCTCAGAGAAAGTTCCTGAAATAGTGAGCCAAAAAGTGGATGGGATTAAAGATGCCAAATTCAATGTTACTATTCCAAAATGTATGTGTAATGTTAGCGATATGAATTTTAGAAGGAATACAGTTCATCTAAATTTAAAATAAGAGGCAAACAAGCAGGAATATCTACCATAGAGATTTCGAACTAAACAGAACATATGATTCTAGTATCATTTAGATGATATAGAGTGGTTTCTGCTTTCTAAGTAATCTTTGAATTGTCAGTGAACTCTATGTTGATGAACTTCTTATACTACTAGAAACTGAAATATAGAAAAAAAAAATACCAGCACAGATTCTCCTTCTTCAGGGTTTGGGCATTTAACAGTAGAAAAGTCTGGATCTGGATCTTTTTGTTCTGGGACTGGAATTGGAGGCTTAAAACCAAACACTTGAAAAGCCAGCTGCACATAGTCATGTCCAACCCCATGAAAAGATGTATGTACAAATTTCAAGGGGGTCTTTGCATTTAGTTCCCTGTAAAGGAAAACAATCATTTATTCAATATAAAACTCATCACTTGTAATATAATTAAAAATAATCCAATTCTGGTATTTTGTCAGCCTGATTCATTCACCATAAAATTTTCATCAACCTGTTACCTACTGGTCTTAGTAGCACTTGGTGATCACTGCTTAGATTTGTTAGAGGACACAAAAGAGTGATTTTTTAATTCTTATTCCTTCTGCATTATTAGTTGGCTTTTTATCTTTATTTTATTTTATTTTTTAAACGATTTATTTATACAAGCACTGGGTACAGTCAGAAGCGTGGGAGGGTGAGAGAATTCACCAGAGCCAGAGTGGGGAACAGAACAGGCAGAATGATGATGTACACTGCTGAGGGGAGCAGCGGACACAGCAGGAGAGGTCTGTGCACCATGTGGGACCCTTGCTCGAACTGGTGCTGCAGAGGCTGCGGCAGCTTTGTAGCCCAGCGCTCAACCGCTGCACCCCCAGGGGAGGCCTGGCTTTTTATCTTAAAAAAAGTTATCACTTATTTGATTAATCCTGTTCAGCTGTCCAATCTTTGATGAGTTGGAACCCCTTTAAGTTGGCTCCAATATGCTTCTCCTATGACTCCATTATCTTAGACAGCTTACTTGCTTTTATAGGGTAAAAACAAAAGAGCCCAGGGTCACTTAGTACATTTCCTGTCTCAGTCTTAGAATCAATCATCCATTTCTCTTAGGGGCCTTGATTCTTTTTAGTGAGAAGTAGTATTTAGAACAGAAACTGGGTTTTAGTGGAATTCATAGGCCTTTTTTTTTTTTTTCTGCATTTTGGAAAGAGCCAAACTGAGTTTATACTAATATTTCAAATTTAAAATTGCAATTTAAAATTTTATTGTCTTTGATTTTACATCTTTTATGCTATAATCTTAGTTCCTAGTGACAATAACATAATTACCCATTTGATTTATATGTAATAACTGTATATATATATTTCTATCTATTTAATCCATCAATATTGACTCTGAACTCAGTTTGATGTTTTTTGTGATTCTTTCTCTTTAGATATGTCCCACTAGAAATATTATCATTACTTATTTTAAAGTTATCTGAACTTTGAGATGTTACTATGATGGTACTAGAGGAGGTTCCTTGCTTTGCTCTCAACAGGCACATCTAAGAGTTAGCTAGAGGGACACTGTACTGAGAGAGTCCCGTGGCTCAGGGTGAAAGTGAAATACCCCTTGAAATAAGAGACTAACACAGAATGCAGAGGAGAAAAAGAGGAGAGTCACACTTCATTGAACAGGAGATGGGTGGAGAGAACTATCTGGAGGCTGTGGTCCAGACTGGGGGACACAAACTGTAGGGCTATTGTTCAGCCAGGGACCCTGGGGAATGGAGAGCAAAAAAGTTTGGACATATATAGCCCTGAATGAGAAGAAACACATATGGGGGATCTGTGGTAATCCACAGAGGCCAGTCCCTGGCAAGGGGGAAAAAGGGGTGCTCTAGATTGCACTCCCTCTTCCCTACTCTTACTGACTGGTACCGAACTTCAAAAAGCACACTGACAGCTGCGTCTCAGATCTGGAACCCTGGAGAAGAGGGCTATCAATGGTGCCACCAATATAAACCAGCCCTACCCTGCCTGCTATACCCCTTCAGGACCTTTCTCCTGCTCCGCTTACTCAGCATCTGCAAAAATTGGTCTCACTACCTACAGGAGCCAGCAAAGACCAAAAGAAAAATCAAACCAAACCAGTGCCATGTGTGGGAAAAGAAAAGGCAATTCTACTCTCTAAGTTACTGCTACAGATACTGAAAAAAGTTGGGAAATTAAAAACTGGAAAATGGACAGGCAAATATATATAACACTTTTTTCCTCCCTGGCTGCCTGGAGAGCCATCACCATCATGAATGACACAAAAACTATCTGGACCAGGGAAATTTATGACCAAGTGACTGCTTCAGTGGAAACAAATGGTCATTGATGCTCTTCACCCTCAGAAGGCAATAGTACCTAAGATAGAAATTTGGGAAAAACTAGCTAAAGGGTACAATGTCATCCTTGCCTTTGGATTCAGAACCCATTTTAAAGGTGGCAAGACACTGGCTTTGACATGATTTACAATTTCTTGGATTATGGAAAGAAAAATATACCCAACCATAGATGTGCAAGACATGCTCTGCAGGAGAAGAAAAAGACCTCACAGAAACAGTGAAAGGAATGCAGAGAGAGTGAAGAGAGTCAGGGCCAATGTTGGTGCTGGCAAAAAGGAGGAATAAAGATTCTGCAGTGACTCTGTATCTGAAGTGACTGTGCACATTTTTCATGAGAGGATTAAAAAAACCTTTTATATGTGTGGCTATTTGGAAATATATATATATATATATATATATATATATATATATATATAAAACATTTATGACCTCAAGGGAATATAGCTTCACAAGGAGAGAACAACTCTCCAGAATCCAGCCACAAATAAATGGAAGATTTTTATCTCTGTATCAGAAAGAGTTCAAAATTACTGTAGCTTAGAAAATGAAATAGACAAAGAGGCAAGTCAAAGTGATACAAGAGAATTCATAAAAGCTAGTCAAAGAGATACAACAAAATTCAGAAAATGTTCAGAAATGAACAAATGGAAGGTAGAAACTGAAGCTTTAAACAAGAAAACAATAGCTATAAAGAACTAATACCCAGATTAAAAAACTCTGAACTACAGAAGCAGAATAGACCAAATGGAGGCTCAAACCAGTAGTCTTGAAGATGGTACTACAACTCCCAGGAGGAAGAAGAGAGAAAAATGAGATGCAAAAAATTAAAAAAATTTTGAGAACAACGCAACATAAGGATAGCAGTGGGAGTCTTCTTGGGAGAAGTCTTCTTGGGAAGTCTTCTCCCAATGGGAGAAGGCAGAGGGATAACAAAGAGTTTATTCAGAGAAATAATAGACCAAAACTTCCCAAACATGGGGAAGGAACTAAATATACAAGTTCATAAAGCTGAAAGAACACCTGGTTGTCTAAATCAATGACAGGGATGCTGTCTAGCAATAGCGTTAGCTACTTACGGAATAGGCATGGAAATATGGTAGGAGGAAAGAAACAGTAACTTTTAGAGGAAGTTTCCTGATCTTACATAAAGGAAAACATACATTTAGTTTTAATTTTCTAACAGTTTTACTGAGAGGTCATTAGTGTACTATATAAATCATGCATTTAAAGCATTTAGTTCCATGGTTTTCACTATATTCACATTCAACCATTACGAAAACCAATTTTTTAACATTTTCATCACTACAGAAAGAAACTGTACCCCACAGGACAGCCCCTAACCTTCCGCTTTCTCTCAGCCACAGGGAACCACTAATATAGTTTGTTTATATCTCTAGATTATGTCTATGCTGTACAATTCATATAAATTTATAATAATGGTTTGAAAGTCTCTCCATGTTATAGTATGCTGTTGATTTCTTTTTACCATGGGGTAGCATTTCATTATATAGAGAGACCACTTTTTTTATTCATTCATCAGTCGATTGATATTTGGTTATTTAATTTTTTTTACTATGATGAATAATACTTGTTCGTTATAATTTTAATGTAATGAATAGGCAGCACATATTTATCCCTATTTCTTTCCTTTGTTACTCTTATTCTAAGATAATACTTTTTTTCTACATTTTTACTTAAATACCTGTGAAAGCAGATCTTTTTCAGATCTTCCATGTATCTCCTGCAAATGTCCTGCAGAGGATCTCTCTTCAGTGGGCTGGTGTCCACTAAGTTATCATTCCAGGACCCATTCCAGGGTTCCACGCATTCTTCTATACATTTCAGAATTTCCTTATCATGAGGAGATGTGATCTGTGCACCAGTTTCCCAATAAACCTAGATGACAGGAAAGCACAGCTATAATGACTTGAAATGTTGACCAGCTATTTCTGTAGTGAGAGTGGAGACAGTTGGCTTTAGAAAGAAGAATACCAAATCAATCAGGTAGAAAATGTTAACATGAGACTAACTTCATAAATACCAAAGGATATTGAGGATAATGATTTTTTTTTAAAGATTTATTTATTTATTTATTTATACACGCACTGGGTACAGTTAGAAGGGCGGGAGGGTGAGAGAATTCACCAGGGACAGAGCGGGGAGCAGAGCAGGCAGAAGGACCGAAGTACACTGCTGAGGGGAGCTGCGGGCGGCAGGAGAGGTCTGCACGCCATGTGGGACCCTCCTCCGGTGGCTGGGGAGCAGCTGGGGATTGAACCAGCACCGCAGAGGCTGCAGGCAGCTTTGCAACCCAGTGCTCAACCGCTGTGCCACTGGGGAGGCCCTGATGATAATGATTCTACAGAGATTCTTCAATAAAATGACTATATGTTATTTTCCCCTTCAGAGGTATATATTAATAATTATAAATCAAGTCAAATATAGTTAGGGTGCCATTGTGACATTTTAATATGCATAAACCATGTCCAATTATACTCTGAGATCTATAATTATATACTAATGATAATCTAAGAAATCATGAAATATCCATGAAACTTGATACTATAAGATTTTAGTATTATAAAGTGGCTATGTTTTCTGATAAACAAGAAATTATGTTTTGGTTATAAATTAAAGTGGAATTTATGTCACAAATAAAGTCCTTATCAGAAAAGATAATTAACATGTTAATTATTCTCTATATATTTCATTATGTGTATTTTCTGAACACATTGGGGAATGGGTGTGGAGAGTCAAACAATTCAGTAGACAAGATAATTCATCATAAAGAAAGTAGATAATTATAGATAATTATAGACAGTTACTATGAAGGAAACAAGCAAGGATGAAAATAAACAAGTCTGCGACATTTGGGGATGAACAGTAAAACTGAGGAAAATACAATTACAAAAACTCATAGGCAAGAAAGGGCTGAGCATGCTGGAGGAACTGGAGAAACAGAAAGAACAGGAATGTGACTGGAATAAGCACAGGAGATGAATGAATGCAAGGAGGCTGCAAGATTGGCAGGAAACAGTCCTGTAAGTCCCATGGTTAGGTGCCTGGGTTTTATTCAAAGAATGAGCGGCCACTGAAGAATTTTTTTTATTATTTATTTGTTTGTTTGTTTTGTTTATACACTGGGTACAGTCAGAAGGGCGGGAGGGTGAGAGAATTCACCAGAGCCAGAGCGGGGAGCAGAGCAGGCAGAAGGACCGAAGTACACTGCTGAGGGCAGCAGCGAGCAGCAGGAGAGTTCTCTGCTCCATGTGGGACCCTCCTCCGGTGGCCGGGGAGCAGCTGGGGATTGAACTGGCGCTGCAGAGGCTGCAGGCAGCTTCGCAACCCAGGGGAGCAGCTGGGGATTGAACTGGTGCTGCAGAGGCTGCAGGCAGCTTCGCAACCCAGAGCTCAACCGCTGCGCCACCGGGGAGGCCCCCACTGAAGAATTTTAAGAAGGAAATTAACACGAACGATTTGTATTTTCAAACCTCCTGGCTGCTTGGTAGAGAATGGATTACAAAGAACAGGGAAGCAGGGATGAGCCCAGGTGGGCTGCTGTAGATCAGAGAGGAAACAACAATGGTTTAGAATGGTGGAGGTAGAAGACAGGGGCTGGAGTAAATATATCCAACATATAGTTTAGATATAGAGTTTTTAGAGTCTTTAGTAGATAAATATTAAAAGTTAAGGAAAAGGAGTAATCAATAATGACTTTTGATTTTTGTTTGGGTGGGTGTGATAGTGTCAATTTACAGAGATGGGGAAGACTTGGGGTGGAATCCACTGGGTATATGCCTAACAGATTATGGGGGCATCAAGACCTCTGTTCTAGAGACACTAATTCTGACATGTCTGTTAGACATCCCAATGGATAGCGAATAGGCAGCTGGACATAAAAACTGATGCTTAGAGAGGACCTGGGTTCTTAGTTCTTTGACAGCTGACCTCTCTTTTCTTGAAACTCTCTTAGCCCTTTCATTTTATGATGCCAATCTTTTCTGGTCTTTCTCCTATTTCCATTCCTCTTCTTTCTCACTTCCCTTAAAGTTGGTATTTCCTAGGATCCCGTTTGGACCTGTTTTCCTGTTCTATGCTGTCTCTGGCTTTTCATCCAAGTAAAGGACAAGTTAGTCTACACACTCACGTACTCTACTATGTATGGAGACTCCCAAATCTAAAACTTCAGCCCAGATTTTCCTCCTGAGCAACAGATCTATATATCCAACTGCCTACAGGATGTTGCTACCACAAACTTAGTATATCCAAAACTGAATTAATCATGCTTCTTCCTCACCTCTGTGATGTTAACACTACCCACTTAGCAGGCCCTGGGAAAGTATTGTTAGTATTAGTATTGTTAAATCTTTTTCCCAGTAGTGCCCAGGGTCCTCCCACATAAGAGGAAAATTAAGTAGAAGTTCCTGGACTCAGTACCCAGCAGCCCCAAACAGGGGCTCAGTACTGCGCTGTCTTCTACTTGAACTTCCGCTCTTCACCCTGTTCCTCCTGTTTCTGCCTCAGAGGCTGACACAGAAAATGGATCGTATGGCCAGTGGGGAGCACTGGCAGAAGGTCAGAGGGAGAAGAGAGTGTGGTAAAGGTTATATTCTTCTGGCTCTCTTCCTACCAGCTCCCAGTCCTTCTTAATGTGTTTGATAGAATATAGCTTTATTTCTGAAATGGTACAGAGGATGAATTTGCAATAGGAGTGGGTAAATCAAGAGTAGCAACCTATTAGAAGTAAAAAGATCAAGGAAGAAACTTTTGTAATAGTTCATGTTGAGAAGTATCAAAGGCCATTCAGGATACACATTCTTTGTCAGTCTCTGTTTTTATCTTTCTGTCCCCAATGTCTAGTCTTGCTCCCCAGTGTAGAAAATATACTCAGCACATATTATTTAAATAAAATATGAACTACGAAATAAGCAGAGATGGGGAGCCCGAGGTTTACCTTGTATCCATTGTCTTCTTTGCGGTTGTGAGAGGCAGTAATCATCACCCCGGCAACTGCTTTGAGCTCCTGGACTGCATAGGGCTGAAGAAAAACAGTAATAGCATAATCTTTTGCTTCTTAGCTAGTCAGACATTTGACATGAGAATATCTTTGATTAAATAACAGAAAATACATTAAAATATAAATAGCCTAAAACCTCAACAATCAACTCCAGGTTCAATGGATGGGGTGTATCTCCAAAAGGTCATCAATAACCACCCAAATGTTTGGTTCTGTAAACATTTCTTATTATTCTGTTCACTTGACAAAGTTTAATGAACCACTATTCTGTGCTAGACATTCCACTGGAATCTGTAAATCTGATGATATGATTCAGAGACGCTCATAACCCAAGCCTGGTCAGAGTCCTTCTCCAATGTTTCTACTGCAGCTAGTGAAGGAAGACTTAGACTCAAAGTTATGGTGATCAAGACTGTGACTCAACTGATAAAAACACCTTTCCTACAAGCAGGGTACATCTACCTGCACTGTGAGAGGAAAGTCAACACACAGGGATTAGTGGTAGTTGGAATTGGCAACCTAAGGTCAGAATCCTACAGGAATATCTAGAGGTCTAAACCCTTCCTGATTTCTCTCATTCATTAAAACCAACTGCTTAGTAATTCCTTCAGTTCTGTTAGCCATTCAGTGTATTTCCAATAAATCACTAGAACAGTTTATGGAGACATTATCTACTCCTCAAAGATTTGGTAAGACTTGTGTATAAAATCATCTAGACCTGGCATTTTAAATTTGAGATAAAAAAAAGAACAACGTGATTTCTTTAGTGGTTATAGATCTAGACAGGGTTTCTATTTCATACCAGTTTTGATTTGTCAATTACTCTAGGAAATTGGCCAATTCATTTTAGCTTTCACATTATTTCAAATTATGTTGTTCAAAATATTGTGGTTTTCTTAACCTCTACTACATTTTTATGCTCCTTTTTAATTTCTTTGTGTCTTCTCTCTTATTTTCTTAAGCACCTTGCCAGAAGTTTGTCTATTTTATTAGCTTTTTGAAAAAAATAAACTTTTGCCTTTGTTGACACCTGTTTTATTTTCTATTTAATTAATTTCCTTCATACCTTTATTATTTCCTTCCTTTTACTTTATTTCAATTTATTCTATTTTAAGTTAATATTACAAACTTATTTCATTATTAAATATTATTAGTTCTTTTTTTAAAGATTTATTTATTTATACAAGAACTGGGGTAGAGGCCAGAGATGTGGGAGGGTAAGAGAATTCACCAGAGACAGAGCAGGGAGCAGAACAGGCAGATGGGCCGAAAACACTGTGGAGGGGGGCAGCAGGCATGACAGATGTCTGCTGCGCCATGTGGGTATCTCCCTGGCTGGCCGGGAATCGAACCCATGCTGCAGAGGCTGTGGACAGCTTCACAGCACTGCACTCAACCCGCTGTGCCACTGGGGCCCTAAATATTATTAGTTTAATATATAAGTTAATATTAAATTCAAGACTCAGTTCATTATTTTATTTTATTTTTTCTTGTATGATATTAAGACTATAAATTTCCCTTTAGGGCTTTGTTTATATACATCATAATTTTTGCTATTAATTTTTTCATCATTGCTCAGTTTAGAAAAAAAGCAGTCCTTGCTTTGCACACTTACACACACACACAAATCTCCAATTGCATACTTCAGTTAAATAACATTAGTCTCCTCCCTACAATATGTTCAAATTTCAGTTACCATAGCATGTTAATCGCAACTGCAGCAAGTACTAACTTGGTTGCTAACACTTAAGTTCACAGATAACTATGTATGTAAGAGATCCATTATGATCTGTAACCAATCAGTCACTCTGTTAAAGATATCAGTGATTGGTCCCTGTATTGCCATCTGTTACTCAGCTCTCACAGAAACAGCAAAGCAGGTAGTTATGTTGCTTCCTTATAACCCAGTGATAAAGCCAGGTGACAGTTTGCAAAAATGGATAGTTGAAAGAGGGAATTGGCCAAAGAAGATTAAAGTTCAGCAAAGAAACAAAAAGTGGTATTAGTGGAAGGGAAATTTGAGTTAGACATAAATCGAATTATAGGAAAAAAACATTGGGAATGATGATACTGCTGCCATTCAAGAGATTCTAGATATGCAACCAGACAAGCTTAGTGAAGGTGAATGTATGAAAATAAATTAGGAATGAGGTTGTGATGAAAAGGGTAAGATCTCCCAGAGGAAGTAATACTAGTAAAAAACCTTTGCACAGAAAGAACTCTCAGAGATATTTCACAACATTGGTAGTACAAAGGATAAAACGTGGGAAGTTGAGCCAAACTTAGAAGGGAGTGTGACCTTTCACCAAAGCATAGGAAAGATGGTCATCCATGTTCTTAAGTTAGACAACAAGCAAGCACTGTTCATACGTTTGATAAATATTTTTACAACGAAATAAAGACACTTTAGTTCTTAATGTTTCAAAATGCATGTGTAAGCATACTTTGTTTTGTTGTACTTTGTTTTATTGTGCTTTGCAGATACTGCATTATTTTACACCAGAAAAATGATTTTCACTTATTGAAGGCTCAGATCATGGTTAGCATTTTTCAGCAATAAACTATTTCTAAAATTGATATTACTTTCTTAGACATAATGCTACTGCACACTTCATAGACTACAGTAAAGTATAGACTTAACTTACACATGCACTGGGAAGCCAAGAAACTCCTGTGACTAGCTTTATTGTGATATTCACTCTATTGTGGCTATCTGGAACCAAACCTGCAAAATCTGTAAAGGTATGCCTGAACTAAATAAAAATCATTTTACTGAAGTTTTCTTTTCCCTATACACTTACCCATTAACTTTTTAACCAAAAGATAAAGGTGTTTTTATGTCTTGACAAAAATTTTGAAGATCACAGAACAATCATAATTTTTCTCATTGATTAAGATCACTTGACATGGATTTAGCTTCCAAAATTATCTTTACAGTCCTGCACTACCATGCAAAGAAAGGATTACCTGTAGATTCTAGTCTTCATTATATCTTCCTTAATCCATGAATTATTTATAAATATATGTTTAGAATTCCAAAAGTAAGGGACTTGTGTGGATTTCTTATTTCAAATCCTATTGCAACAGTGTCCAGTACTATGGCTTGATAAGCAGTTCTCTGGTATTTGTTGAGATTTCTTTTGTGACTCTGTTTGATAAGAGTATCCTACATCATTGCATCCATTGTTTTTACACACACACGCATGCACGCACACACATAGACACAAACACACACCAAGGATACGGATTCAAATCTATCTTTAATTATTTTGTCTGCCTAACAAATTAGTTTCTTAAAGATGAAACTTAAAATATACCACCGTGACTGTGGACTTGTCCAAGTTGTTTACAGGTCTGATTCTTAGGTGGTTCAACATATGCTTGTTGAATGAAAAGAAACTCAGAGCAAAGTTTGTCTTCCCTTGGTTCTTCATATTACTTAATACAGAGGTACATACATAATAAAGATTTGAATCTTGGTTGATAGAAGAAATCCTTTCCAGAGTAGCAATGTATGATCAATAATACAACACACTTACTACAAAAGGTGTAGGAACATATCTTGAAAAAAGGTACACAGGAACATCTTTGGCCAGTAAGACTGCAGCCGTGAGTTTAGCAAGTCTTAAAAAAAAAAGAGAGATTTCTATGAGTCTTTAGCTTACCATACATTTTAAAAACCAACTTTCTGCAAAGTAAATGTTTCATATTATAATTATTTTGAATATATAGGAGCTTAATACAACAAATTCTATGATCACTGGTTACTTAAGTTCCAATGCTCCAACTTAAAAATGTTAAATAAGTTTTTAAAAAAGTTAAATAATGAAAATAATTGACATTTTAATTTATTTTTCCTCATTCATCTTTTGATGGCTTTTGCTAAGAAATAAAACCAACGAAAAGCAAAAAGAATGGAGTAAAGTAAAATAAGGGATTTAATAAATATAAAATGCATAATTACCCTCTGAGAAAAGGTATCACTGTAATTATGATTATCTGTGTGAAAATACCTTAAAGTGAATCAAAAAGGACTATAATAAGAGAGTACCAGCTACATAATTACTCTCACCCAGTGCTTCTGACAAAACATTAAAATCACAATGAACTATAATGTCATTCTAAATACTAACTCCAAATATTTGAAAATTTTACTCCTTTCTGTAAAAGCTTTATACTTATCTTTGAAATGCTTTTATTTAAGCTCTCAAATAAACATAGCATGTGATCACATTTCTATGACAGTTTCCTGTTTCAGAAACTTAAATTTGTTTTAAGGTTTTATTCCAGTTCACTTTAACCTCTGAAACAATTAACACCCTACCTCTGGCTGCTGCAGCTGCTAGTTACTTGACCCCGGGTGTCATATCCAACGACAAAGCCTCTCTGCTTGAAGTCTGAGAAGCATCTTTCAAGGTATTTGTACATCCCCTGAAGCAGAGAAACACAAAAGATTAGTTCCTAACTAAAGCCTCATTTTCTATGGCTGCAAATCTTTTATTTTTCTGTTATTGTATAGCTTCTTGGTTCCTAGGAAACTGGTTTCCGCCTTTAAGCCCGTATTTACTAATGTGGGAACAATACTGTTCAAGCCACAAATGTCAGATGACAGACCTTTACTTCCTAGAGTTTCAGACATATTTATAACAACAGAAATAGAACTAAGGAACCATTAAAGTCAATCTGATAAAGAAAAATGTAGAAAATAACAGATGGGGCATGAGATTCAGTATGTTAACAAAAATTGTTAGAGAAGAGCCACAAGAAATTGTTTCTTGCCTCAAGTCTCTAGAGAACAAAATTTTGACCATTTCAAGGTCCTTGCTAAATCATAAGACTGAAGGCTAAACAAAAGATCTGACCTATTTTTGACACAAACATTTTTAATCAAAACTGGAACCCTTCATGAGAGCATTTCTTAGGCTGGCTGACCCTATTTGTAATTCCTTGGTTTTAAAATCTCAGGAAAAAAAATCTAATAAACCATGAAAATTTCAGTCAAGATTAATGAAAAATGAAATGAAGTATTTACTGTTAAAAAGATCATGATGATACTATAGAACACTAAACCCCAAAAAAACGGAGTACACATTTTTCTCAAGCGCACACGGATCATTCTCCAGGATCGATCACATACTGGGGCACAAGACAAACATCAACAGATACACCAAGATTGAAATCATATCAACCATCTTTTCTGACCATGAAGGCATCAAACTAGAAATAAACCATAAAAAGAAGGCAAGGAACTTTCCTACCTCATGGAGATTAAAAACCACACTACTGGAAGACCACTGGACTAATGAGGAGATCAAAGAAGAAATTAAAAAATTTTTTGAATTGAACGACAAGGAGGACACCAATATCCTAAATGTATGGGATGCAGCAAAAGCAGTAATAAGAGGAAAATACATAGCAATAGAAGCTCACATCAAGAAACAAGAAAGAACTCAAAGAAACAACCTAATCTCGAAGCTCAAAGATCTAGAAAAAGAACAACAAAAAAACCCAAAACCAGTAGAAGAAAAGAAATAATAAAAACAAAAGCAGAAATAAATGAAATTGAAACTAAAAAAACAATCCAAAAGATCAATGAAACCAAAAGCTGGTTCTTTGAAAAAATCAATAAAATAGACAAACCCCTAGCCAGGCTCACAAAGGAAAAAAGGGAGAAAGCACAAATAAACAGGATCATCAATGAAAGAGGAGAAATCACAACGGACACAGCAGAAATCAAAAGAATAATCAGTAACTACTATGAACAGTTATTTGGAAACAAGTTTAACAATCTAGAGGAGATGGACAAATTCCTACAACTCTACAATCACCCAAAGCTAGATAAAGAAGAAATAGAACACCTAAACAGACCAATTACAAGCAGCGAAATTGAAATGGTAATCAAAAACCTCCCCAAAAACAAAAGCCCAGGACCTGATGGATTTACAAATGAATTCTACCAAACATTCAGAGACGAATTAGTGCCTATCCTTCACAAACTCTTCCAAAAAATTGAGAAGGAAGGGACAATACCAAACACGTTCTATGAAGCCAACATTACACTAATACCAAAACCGAACAAGGACAACACAAAAAAGGAAAACTACAGGCCAATCTCCCTAATGAACACTGATGCAAAAATCCTCAATAAAATTTTAGCCATCAGAATCCAACAATGTATCCATAAGATAATTCACCACGACCAAGTAGGATTCATTCCAGGGGCACAAGGATGGTTTAACATCCGAAAATCAATCAACGTTATCCAACACATCAACAAAAAGAAATATAAAAACCATATGATAATATCAATAGATGCTGAGAAAGCTTTCGACAAAGTGCAACACCCATTCATGATAAAAGCCCTTGAAATTCTTGGGATACAAGGAACATACCTCAACATCATAAAGGCCATCTATGACAAGCCAACAGCCAGTATCATTCTCAATGGTGAAAAGCTGAAAGCAATTCCATTAAGATCTGGAACAAGACAAGGATGTCCACTCTCACCACTGCTTTTCAATATAATACTGGAAGTCCTAGCCAGGGCAATAAGACAAGAGAAAGACATCCAAGGAATCCAAATAGGAAAAGAAGAAGTCAAACTATCACTATTTGCAGACGATATGATATTATACATAGAGAACCCCAAAAACTCCACAGAAAAGCTAATTCAACTCATCAGTCAGTTCAGTAAAGTGGCAGGATACAAAATCAACACGCAAAAGTCAGTAGCCTTCCTATACACAAACAATAAATCTGAAGAAGAAGAAATCAAAAAAACCATCCCTTTTGTTATTGAAACAAAAAAAATCAAATATTTGGGAATAAATCTAACAAAAGAGGTAAAGGACCTATACAAAGAAAACTATAAAACACTGTTAAAAGAAATAGAAGAAGACACAAAGAAATGGAGAGACATCCCCTGCTCGTGGATTGGAAGAATAAACATTATTAAAATGGCCATTCTTCCAAAAGCAATATACAGATTCAATGCTATTCCAATCAAAATTTCAATGTCATTCTTCAAAGAAATAGAACAATTATTGATGAAATTCATATGGAATCACAAAAACCCAAATAGCCAAAGCTCTCCTGAAAAAAAAAGAAGGGAATGGAGGCATTACACTCCCAGACTTCAAACTATACTACAAAGCCATAATCATCAAAACTGCATGGTATTGGAACAAGAACAGACATACAGACCAATGGAATCGAATAGAAAATCCAGAAATAAACCCACAGATTTATGGTCAACTAATCTTTGACAAAGGAGCAAAGAATATGCATTGGAGCAAAGAAAGTTTGTTCAATAAATGGTGCTGGGAAAACTGGGTCGCTACATGCAAAAGAATGAAGCTTGACCACCACCTCACACCATACACAAAAATCAACTCAAAATGGATTAAAGAACTAGACATAAGACCTGAAACCATAAAAATATAGAAGGAAATATAGGCGAAACACTACGTGATTTGCACATCAAAGACATCTTTACAGACACATCACCCAAAGCAGTGATAGTGAAGGCAAAGATAAACAGCTGGGACTACATCAAATTAAAGAGCTTCTGCACAGCAAAAGAGACAATAACAAAAACAAAGAGAAACCCCACCAACTGGGAGAACATTTTTGCACCCAACACTAATGATAAAGGACTGATCACAAAAATCTGCAAAGAGCTGATGAGACTCAACAACAACAAAGAAAATAATCCAGTCAAAAAATGGGCAGAAGAGCTAAAAAGAAACTTCTCTGAAGAGGAAATGCAAATGGCCAACAGGCATATGAAAAAATGTTCAACATCACTTGCCATCAGGGAAATGCAAATCAAAACTACCATGAGATACCATCTTACACCAGTGAGAATGGCACATATTAAAAAAACTAGCAACAACAAATGCTGGCGAGGGTGTGGAGAAAAAGGAACTCTTCTGCACTGTTGGTGGGAGTGCAAACTGGTCCAACCACTGTGGAAAGCTGTGTGGAGATTTCTGGACCTACTAAACATAGAGCTTCCATATGATCCAGCAATTCCACTCCTAGGTATTTACCCAAAGGACACAGAAACATCAATTCCAAAGAACACCTGCACCCCTATGTTTATAGCAGCACTGTTTACAATAGCTAAGCTTTGGAAACAACCCAAATGCCCAAAAATAGATGACTGGATCAAGAAGATGTGGTACATATATACCATGGAATATTACTTAGCATTCAAAAAAGATAAACACATGCAATTTGCAGCAACATGGATGGCGCTGGAAGGGATCATGCTCAGCGAAATAAGCCAAAAAGAAAAAGAAAAATACCGGATGGTCTCACTCATAGCAGGAATCTAGAAAACTTAAATAAGGGACCAGGAAAATGAATAACTATAAGAAAGTGAAAATCAAAATCAACAAAAAACTATGAACCAGAGACACTTTTTTGGGGGGCGGGGCGGGGGGGAGGGATGGGGTCAGAATGGGGGGGCTGCAATTGTATGGGGAATATAACAATAAAATTTATTATTAAAAAAAAAATAAAAAAAAATAAAAAAAAAATAAAGTGGAAAATTCTGCATTAAAAAAAAATCATGATGATAAACTATCTTATAAATGACTTGCTAATTTTAATAAATACTTTGATCTTTAAAAGTAACACTTCATATTGTTATAGTCCTTTAAAACCACCTCCACAGATATTGCCACATTCAATTCTTAAAACAACTCTGAAAAGAAAGGAATGTAGATTCCATTTCTATTTTTGTCTTTGAACAGCTCTTCAGAAAAAAGAGAGAAAGTTCCAATTAATGACATGTGTAAGGCTATTCAACTAAAACTAAATTATTAAAAGAGACCCCGCAAATTAAATTATGTTGGTTTTTACTGAAGACTCTACTACATGGCAGGCACTACTAAGTAACTGTGGGGCAGCACCAAATGAGATCCCAGTGACTTCTGGGCCCTTCTGCCATGGTCTACTCCTTACGAATATATGTATATTGCGCGTGTGTTTACATGTGCTTAATATAGTCCAAATTGGCTAGGTCCACCAACCTTATTTCTGATGATACTACCCAAAAACCTCACATAATATATTATTCTTTGGCATGAATATCCATCTTATCTTTTTCCCCCATATCTAGATACTGAAAAGGGCTAAGGTTTAAGAATCAGATTCCTGGGGCCTCCCCTGTGGCACAGTGGTTGAGCGCTGGGCTGTGAAGCTGCCTGAAGCCTCTGCAGTGCTGGTTCGATCCCGGCCACCAGCAAGGGTCCCACATGGCACGCAGACCTCTCCTGCCGCGCTTGCTGCTCCCCTCAGCAGCGTCCTTCATCTGTCTGCCTCTTCTGCTCCCTGCTCTAGCTCTGGTGAATTCTCTCACTCTCCTGTGCTTCTGACTGTACCCAGTGCTTATATAAATAAACAAATAAATCTTTAAGAAAAATAAAAGAATCAGATTCCATTTGGCTTTTTAACCTCACAAAGTGGAATCCAAACTCTTATAAAATATTGTACTACCATAGAAGATGTATTCAAATACCTCCACCTCTACTCCTTTTTGTGAAGTCAAGAAATCTTCATTTAAAATGAAAGTTTACCAGAAACCCAATATATAAAAGAATGAGCTAAAGCATTTCTGGAGGAACAACATCAAGGAGATAGGCTGGAAGAGGCAGCACATATTCAGTCATTTTGGCATACCTTCTTCCCCATCCTCTGCATTAGTCCTTGCCTTTGATAATTCACTCAGAACAAAAATAAAGCTGTTTGTCAGTGTCAATTATTGAATAGAATTATGTCTACCGAACAATTCTCTAGTCCAGAACAACTTTTAATATATGCTAAATGCATTATTGGCCTCAAAAAGGTAGCTCCTTGAAGTGGGGAGGAAGATGTACTAGATAGAGAAGTAACTTGATTCTAGAATAAATTGCATAAAAAATGGGCAGAAATAAAATAAAATTGTATCACACTATACAATGTCTTAAGGAACTCTCAAAGGGATACATAGAAAACCATATACTGGTTAATCTTTATCAATGGCTATTTGCCAAAATGGATCATTATCATCTTTTTAAGTTTGTTTCTTTGTATTAATTGGAAATATCAGTTATCATTTCTTGGGTTCAAATGCAAACATTGTCAAGAAGTTGATAATGACAATCAAAATAACTCTCAATCAAAGTCAGTATATGCCATTAATGACAAATAAATACTTTCTAAGGTAAATCTGAAGCAAGACTAAAGGTGAGAATTTATTTTAAAAAGATTTATTTATGATTATAAGAACTGGAGTACAGGCCAGAGGTGCAGGAGGTGAGAGGATTCACCAGAGACAGAGCGCGGAACCGAACAGGCAGATAGACCACAGTACACTGCTGAGGGGAGCAGCGGACAAGTCAGGAGAGATCTGTTCCGCTATGTGGGTAGCTCCTGGGCTGGGGATCAAACTCATGCTGCAGAGGCTGTAGACAGCTTCACAGCACTGCGCTCAACCCCTTGCGCCACCAGGAAGGCCCTATTCTACATTTTTAACTTACTTACTGGATGTTTGTTTTAAGGAAAAGTATTCCTTAATTTATAAAGCAAAAAAAAAAAAAAAAAAAGTGATAGTGCATATGGAATAGTTACCTGTGTTGATTGTATTACTGTCAGATCATTAATATAGCAAAATCCTGCCCCCATAGCAGAACGAAGTCCTGCAGTCCCAAAAGTCATTCGGCAGCAAAGACGATCTCGTAGCTCCTTGTTCATCCCATTCCGTAAGAGATTTTCAATTTGCTCTTTTGTTTTAGGATTCTATATATAAAAAAAGAAGTATTAAAACTTAATCAGGATCACAAAGTAGAGTCCTAATATGAAGCCCTTCAAACTATGATGTATAAGAAAAATACATATTAGTTACTAGCCCCAGTTCCTGACATAGAGCTCCTGAGATTTTTATAATTTCCTAAGTGCAAGAGCTCTAATTGTGTCATTGTTCTGATGAGATGACTCTGGGTGGCTCATGGGTGGCCCCTGATTGGGGCCTGGCTACCAGAAAGATCAAGTCATGGTTAGAAGCTTGGAATTTTCAGTTCTGTTCCTGTCCCCTCATTTCTCCAGAGAGGGGAGAAGAATCGGTAACAGAGTTAATTATACTTACACGATGAGATCTTCATAAAATCCCAACAGTAAGTGGTTCAGACACCTTCCAGGTGAGAAAACACTTTGGCACAACTTCACAGGGACAGAGGCTTTGGAGCTTGGGACCCTTTGAGACCTCACCTTATATAGCTTTTTATTTGGCTATTTATCTGTACCTTTATCAAACTGTTTAATAAAGTGGTAAGCATAAGTAAGTATTCCCTGAGTTTTGTGAGATGCTCTAGCAATTTAATCAAACTTAAGAAAACTATTAGAACCTTCAATTTATATAGCCAATTGGTCAGAAGCCAGACAATAATTTGAGCTTGCAAATGGCATTGAAGTGGGTATGTGTGTTTGGTGGGGGGACAGTATTGTGGGACTGAGCCCTTAGCCCCTGGGATCTGACACTATCACCAGGAAGACAGTGTCAGAATTGACTTAAATTGTAGGGCACCCAGCTGGTATTGCAGAAAATTGCTTGGTGTAGGAAAAACTAACATACATTTGGTAACCAGAAGTGTCAGAAGTGAAGTGTTCTCTGTAAGGGTAAAGGAGACACACACAAAGAAACACACTCCAGGGGAGAACAGGTTTTTCCTGTACAGAGAAAGGTGGAAGGCTGAGTTTTCCCACTGACACATGCTAGTATCTATATTTTAGTATTCAGTATTTCATTAGCACATATTTTAACTTATTCCCACAAACCTCAAAGATGCCTATGATTAAAAATAGTTCTTCACAAAAAAAGTAGAAAAAGTAGAAAGTTTTGAATAGATGCATTTATAAAGAATTTTTCCAGATTTTTTTTTTAAAATGTTTCCATGTATTACCACTTGTCATTTTGTTTTGTTTTGTTTTGTTTTTAAGATTTATTTATTTATACAAGAACCGGGGTACAGACCAGAGGCGCAGGAGGGTGAGAGGATTCACCAGAGCCAGAGTGGGGAACAGAACAGGCAGACTAATGAAATACACTGCTGAGGGGAGCAGCAGGTGCAGCAGGAGAGGTCTGCGCGCCATGTGGGACCCTCGCCGGTGGCCCGGGATTGAACCAGTGCTGCAGAGGCTGCGGGCAGCTTCGCAGCCCAGAGCTCAACTGCTGTGCCACCAGGGGAGGCCCCAGAATTTTTTTTTTTAGGAGAAAGACTCAAATATTAAGAAAATTAAGAATTGTAATTTCTCTCTTCCATGCTGTATATACCGTATGGATTTCATTCATAATATCTGCTTAGATCTACCTCTAGAGTCTATTACAATGACAATGAATATTTAAATCATAGACTAAGTTACCTCAAAGTACTAAATATTAGAACAAATTTCTACTTCAAAGAAATAAAAACATATTAATATAGTTGACCCTTGAACAACTAGGGTTTGAACTGCTTGCATCTACGTATATGCAGATTTTTTTCTGTGAGTTGTGATGTCAACTGAATCTGTGGATGTGGTACCTGTGGACACAGTGGGCCGACTTAAATTATACATAGATTTTTCAATTTTGTGGGGTCAGTGCCCCTAAGACCTGAGTTTTCCAAGGGTCAACTGTATATAATTTAAACATAATGGTTCTCTGGTTATAATGGAAATTAATGAGTACAAGTCAGAAACTAGTCACTAGAAGTCATGGAAATTCTGATGATCTGAAATTGTAATATGTTTAAAATGGATGGGGTGTGTGTATATATATGTATATGAATATGTATATACATGTGAAAATATAGTCTAGATTCAATGACTCTTTTTTAAATTATTTTTTTAATTTTATAAATTTTTTACATCATTTTCATTTTTGTACAATGTATGCATTTTCATGGAATATTATCAATCAAAAAAGATAAACTCATGCCATTTGCAGCAACATGGATGGAGCTGGAAGGGATCATGCTCAGTGAAATAAGCCAGAAAGAAAAAGAAAAATACCAGATGGTCTCACTCATAGCAGGAATTTAGAAAACCTAAATAAGGGACCAGGAAAAAGACTAATTATAATGACTCTATTTTTTAAATGATGTACACTATAAAATACACAGCCTACATAAAAAATAATTATTAAGAGAAAAATATAACAATAAGATTTTTAGGGCTACAATTATAAGGGGAATAATGAAGAACAACCCCCAAGCCAGTAGGTAGGGCTCATAGCTAACTCCATGGTAGAAGGCGGAGCTTTCAATAAAATAAAGAGGAAATATAGAAAACAGATTTTTTAGTAATTCAAATATATCTAAAATTGCAAAGCTGTCAGTAACATTATTGACAGAGGTTGGTGCTTAAACAGTAATATCAGTTTTATATATCTATAGGGGAAATTTTAAAGCTTATTTCTAAACAGAAGCTAAAACAGGAAACTGCAATTTGAAAATCTGAAGCGTGAACACGACATTTTCTTCTAAGGGTCAGCTGTCTTGAAGACCCAAGTCTAGAGTCCTGAGGCTGAACTTGTTTTCCAAAACAGACACTTCCTTATTGAGTCAAAAATGTACTCTTGCTAAGCAATATTTTTTTTTTTCCCATGTCAGGGATCAACAGTAGAGAAGAGCACAGTGAGAAGGGTACAGCCACCCCATCAGCCCTCGATTATCACTGATCTCTGAATGCTATGAGAGAAATTATCTTCTCTCTGCTATAAACTACTGTGTTTTATAATCTTTGTTTCAGCAACTTAGACTGTGCCTAAATTAATACAGTAGTTAATGTCTGTGCTCAATGTGAAATAAGGCTGGACCATGAGATGCCCAATTGAATGCTTTCTCTCTACACTGAATTCTATCCCCGTTCATTCCTCCTCCTCGTTTCTGCCTTTCCAAGAATTCTTTTTGCCATTCATAAACTCAACATTCATCAAAATCCTTATTTTATAAATGTTTTGAGGGAAATAACCATATGTTCTTGGTATTCTGTATTTTTTCTATAATCTCAAGTGCAATGTCACTCAAAAGTAAGTATGAAAAAACAAGTTAACAGATGGCAGTGGGAATTCTCTTTAAAACACCAATTACTTCCATAATGGGGTATCTTCTTTGACATCAGAGACCATTTCCTAAATATCTTTGCTTCCTCTACTACCTACACTATACCCTGTATGCAGAAGATACTTCATTTGTCCTCACTGATTGTTAGTAACAGTGACAAATAGTCACTTCTCTCAGGAAAAGTAAACATTAGAAAAAGAAAATATTAGAGTAAGAGTAAGCTATCATGCAATCAAACGCAAGAACTCCCAATTGAAATAAATTTCCTAATTAAGAGTCTATACTTTTAAAGATAAAGGCCTATACACAAATAATTTCATGTTTTTCTCTGAGGCTAAATTAAAGAACAAATATACACAATTCAGTCAATCACTCAAAAAAATATTACTTTAATTGTTACTATATCTTCAGCAAGGAGAACAGAGCCTGGCTCTCAGTTGGTAAATGTTTTTAAATATATATTAGCACATTCTATTTTCTAGGATAGGAGACACTATAAGGACAATGAAGATTGTTCTGCCCTCACAAATCTCAAGAACTAGTGAGGAGTAAAGATAAGCCAAAGGCAATTACCACAAAGAATATGCGAAGTATTAAAATAGCAGTGAGTTCCATTATGCTAATGGAATACACAGAAGTCTCTAATTCAGAATGGATTGAAGAAAAAAGAGCAGAGTCAGGAAGTAATATCTGAACTGAAAAATGAGTGGGAATTGGAGGGCTAGGATGGAGGGTAGAGAGATGAGTTCAGTATTAGAATTACTAAGCTTGAAATGATATCTATAGTGGCCAGTATGCCACTATTATTTCCTAATAGTTTTTCTCTAGTAATAAAGGAAATGAAAATTAAATTGAGATACCAATTTTCACCCCCAAATTTTATTAAGAGCTTTAAAAATTATTAAGCCCGGGGCCAAAAAGGGAGGCTATGTTAATTGCTATGGCTGTGGTAACAACACTCACTATACTATCTCATGGTTACTATCGGTCAGAAATTCAGAAAGGGCACAGCCATGGTGACTTGTCTCTGTCTCACAATGTCTGGGACCTGAGGTGGAATACTCTTAATTTTGTGTCCTGGATTCATCAGAAGGCATGTGTACTCTATCTCTGGTAGTAGCATTGACTGTCAGCTGGGGCCTAGCTGGGCCTGCCAACTGGAACACTTATGAATGGTCACTACCTATGGCTATATATCTATAGAAGGGGTATATATTGATACAATATCTCAGGTGACAATTTGCCAATGTTATAAGTAACTTAAATATTAAATAGTCTTTGCTCCAGCAACTCTACTGGAAATTAATACCAAGGAAATAGTCATGGATACATGCTATGATCTAGTCATGAGGATATTCACTAATGTCAATAATAATAATAAAAATAATAATAGATAAGCAAACTGCATATCCAATAGAAAAGTGGTTAAACAAAAAGTATATCATTAGAATAGTAGATTAAAACCCACATTTGAATTTTAATGACATTAAGAAAATACATTTTATTAAGAAGGGAAGCATATAAACCATATGTGCAATGTAATTCCTTCAAAGGAACAAGTTAGTCTAAGTTGACTTTTCAACAACAATGTAAACTGGCAAACAATCAGATTACATTTTTAATGCACTAAAAAAACTGGCAGTGTGGATTTCTATACCCAGGAAAATTTTCTGGAAGAAACAGTAAAATTGTTAGCGT